GGAGTTGTGATCCAGCAGAGAGGATCCACCAGAGGAGAAGCAACTGCACCTGGAAGTGGGCAGCAAAGGCCCTCGGCTGACCACACTCACTCACAAGTCCACCTAGGGGCTCTCTTGCCATCCACTGCAGGCAGCGGGGGCTGGAGTCCACACTGCCCTCCACCTACCCCTGTCACCCAAGAAACAGTCTGCTGAAACCCTGCAGAGATACGAGCATAGTCCAGTCCTCCTGCATTCCTTTTTCTCTTTGGTTTTCCAGATTTTCTATAAAGAACATGGATTGCTACTAAAATCAGAAAAAAATGAAACTAAAAAAATGTTTTGAGAAGACTGGGCTGGGCAGGGCTGAGAGTGGGCGTGACCTGGAAGGGGTCCTGCTGCCCCACTGCCTGCATTTCAAGGAAAACCAGCAATCATCTTTTTTTTTTCAAGTGAAATCTCCAGATTTCTTAATGTTGGCAACTAATTAAAACAAATTATATACTGGGAGCCAAACTGCCACCATCTGCAACCCCTGATTTAGACTTTAAATTCTCCCACAAAGTGCCCAAGGTAATTTGGCTTTGTCACTGTGGCTGTCAAAAAAACAAAGGTACCTCCACCTATAATTATAGTGGTACTTTATCGTAGACAAAAAGACGGAAATTTAAGTCTGGCAAGCCTCCAAATTAATAAAAAGTCCCAAACATGTAAAAGTATCTAAAAACAAAACAAAAACAAAGGCCCTCTACCATCGTCAAATCTGCAATTGGAAAAGAAAACAAAATTAACCTCTATTTTCGTTTTTAGTAACCTCCTCAACTTTTTCTAACAGGGACATTCGTTCCCATGTACCCCAATCTCTGTTTCTTTTATTAAAACCAACCTCTATGCCTGAAAAAATATCTGCAAAATGCTGCCATAAACAAGACAAAGTCAAACAGGTTAGTTGATGATATGAAACTCTGTCAAAGTTTTTTGGTGTGTGTTTTTAGCATTACTAGTAGTTATCATTTGTCAAAGGCTTTAAAAAAAATTCAAAAAAGTTTTTTCTAGTATTTAGAGGCACCTCTTCTGACAACCCACAAACGTCCTTTCCTGTTGAAGGCTCAGGAATGCTGAGCCTACAAAGCAGCTCTCAAGGCTAAGTCAACACATCAGCTGTGACTTCTTCCACTGAAAGTTACTTGTTTAGCTCTAGGATATTATGTCTACTGAATGCTGAGAATAGGCCAACCTCACGGCATGTGACCCATGCAGTCACACCAGGCCCTCCTCTTAGAAGGGCACTTGGTCTGATGCTCTGTGGTCACCATTTTGAAATTCTTCATCCTGTTTGAACAAGGGGTCCCATGTATTCATTTTGCACTGGGCTCTGAAAACTGTGTAGACAGTCCTAGCAAATTACTCCATTTGTCATAGATGATTTCGTGTTGGTAATTTATAGTTACTGGAAGACCAGATAAAAGTGATTTGGCGATAACCTTCAAACCCCAGGTTAGCATCTGTTTTTATTAAGCAAATACTGTGACAATGGACACTGAAAAATGAGTAAGAGGGAGGCCAAGGAGGGAGGGTCACTTGAGGCCAGGAGTTTGAGACCAGCCTGGGCAACACAGCAAGAGCCTATCTCTACAAAAAATTAAATAAATAAATAAAACGCATAAGACGTTATCTGGAAACCCACTCTTTTATCAAATCAACTGCCTATAATTTTTCCACATTATCTTTCTATTCTTGACCAGTAAAGACATTCCAAATTTTAGACAGTTGCAGCTTCTACCAGATGACATAGAGTTATCTTTTTTAGTGGCTGCCTATGGTTTAGTGTTTAAGCATAAGTTAGCATGCCACAATTTGCCATTTTCCTACTGATGGATATAAATATACACTTCAGTGATTCTAGTTTTTGTGTCTTTTCTTTCTGACGGAGGGGCTGGATTGTCCGTTTAGGATAAAGTAATGCGGACATCTCCCTGACTCTTCAGAGCGGAGCAGAGTTACTTCCCGAAAGGCCATGCTGATCGCTCCTGCGCCGGGCCGCGGGGAGCAACCGTCCGCCAACCCCATTCTCACCAGCACTGAGAGCATCGTTTCTTTACATGTTGTTTATTTAGTAGTATAAAGTGACTTAGCCGACAATTTTACCTTTATCTCCAATTAACCTATTTAGCGAGGTAAACAAATAACGGAGGATTTGGACTTTGCCTGTCTTCTTCCTATGTGGGTTTATGCGGAAGTCAAGTGGGGGCCGACTCCGAAAAAGCTTGGAAAGGAGGCGAGAGATGGAACGAGGGGCCAGGATGACGCACAGAACGGAAAACCAGCGGAGAGACTGAGAATTCACCGTGATTAACAGAATACATTTCTGATCAGGCTGTATTTGGTGCATAAGGTTAAATAAATCGGATGTTTAAACTTCAAGAAGATGAAGACTAAA